ATTGCTCGACGGTGATCTACGGGGGGTGGGGGTGGGGGTTCAAACTGTTTCTGATTAAATAAACAAGCATCAGAAGTTTGAAAGGAAGTCCTTCTTAGTAAGGCTGAGAATTTTCGGCACCTACTCTGAAATACCTTGAGTACATTACCGTGACAACTGGAGTCAATTCGAATCTCTCCGGCTGTTCCACATTTTTGGGGTAAATTGGAATATATGTTATTTGGTCAATTTTCCCGTGTGTACGTAGCTAAAGCCAGCATATCAAATGTAAAAAGGTACCTTTTTTCGGCAAATTTATCCTTCATTTTATAAACATATTTTGTTTTAAAATTGTTATCATTTTTGAATAGATTTTAGGAGTGCATTAGATAAACTTTCAATGGTAGACAAGTGTTGAAATAAATTTTTTTTTCATGGAGCTGATAGCTAACGACTGCTACTACATAAATGCCCGGAAACATTTGAAAAAAAAAAATGCAGGTGCCGGAAGTGATTGTCTGTCTGTATGTCTGTCACGCAAACGCACACGTAAAGACACAATCAGGTGGGTGCAAATGTTAACATTTTGAAACCCGGTTTTGTGCGTATTTAGTGTTTAATTTAAAAAAGCAAAAAAAAAAAAAGTCGATGAAAATGTTTAAACACAATAGACAGGTAGCGACATTAATTACCGTATATAATCGCGTATAGTTCGTACCAGTAGATAGGTCACACTCTTAGTTTGGGGTTGTCAAAGTGGGTATTTGCGGTTGACTCGAAGATGGGTCGCGCTATAATCTGGGGAGTTACATGGCCCTTTTTTAACGTAAATATAACTAATATTTGTTAAATATTTTCAAATATTCACGTTTACTTCCAAAATTTGATTTTTAAACATATTTTGTTTTAAAATTGTTGTCATTCTTGAGTAGATTTTAGGAGTACATTACATAAACTTTCAATGGTAGACAAGTGTAATGTAACGCTAATGATGTTATGGGAGAAAAACAAATCATGAAATGTAGGCATAACAACACAAAACTACCTACCTTAGGTCTACCGGCAGACTTGATGGGTAGTATGACCATAGCATAAATCGAAATATAATAATGACGATGATGATGATATAACAATAATAATAATAATAATAATAATAATAATAATAATAATAATAAGAAGAAGAAGAAGAAGAAGAAGAAGAAGAAAAAAAAAAGAAGAAGAAAGAAAAAGAATAAAAAGAAAAAGAAGGAGCGAAAGAGAGAGAAAGAGAGAATAGTCTAATAACCGAGTGGTCAGAAGATTTGCATACCGACCACGAATGAGGATTCAGATTTCTTTCATAAAAAAGATATTGACTCGGGTAGACGACCCCAGCATGTTGGGAAATGTCTGGAAATCATACCATGGTTTAAAGTTCAAACGTTGGGTAGACGAAAAAAAATTCAGAAATGCTTGATAGTTGTTCTAGCACGATGTAAAAAGTCATCGTGATCGAGGACTCAAACGTACTGGCGTTGTTAACCTAGTGATCACACCACTATACGCTCTCTTCTAGAAACTGCAACTAAGGTTCGCTCACCATAGATACAGAATGAATCAGAAGCGGGCTCTGTGGGTGTTGAACCGGGATTAGCGTTGCCATTCTTACAGACAGGCAAACCGGGAAACGAGCAGAGAGTCATTACATGTGACGAAATGGTTAAAAATACGAAAAATAGATTCGGTGAGCTGAGTTCAAATTTTAATTGAAACTTTTTTTTGTTCACTTCACACTAATACATTTGGGGAATTAAAAATATCTATTCTCCCTCCCGCCTTAGCTACAGGAAAATTTTATCGGCAGAATGGATCCTCTAGCTTTGGTTGGTAACGGGTCTAAATGTAGAACACGAGTGAGAATTACACACCCGCACAAATTTATGAGTAAAGTAGCAAAAAGTAGGCAGGGATGGGTGCTGCAGTATCACCCTACTTGTTAAAATATCATTTGTACGCAAGAGTAGATAAGATCTAATATATATATATATATATATATATATATATATATATAGATATATATATAGAGAGAGAGAGAGAGAGAGAGAAACCTCGGTTCTCAGACGTCTCATATGTCGAACAAATTGATTTTCGAACAGAATATTCGAGATGAAAATGCCTCGGTTATTGAACAACATTTCGGTTCTCGAACAACATAGTCGAACCGAATTGACCTGTGCTTTTTTCCCCAATTTTATTGTACTGTGACTTTTTTTTTCTCTACATTGATTCCTATTGGAAAAATAGTTTCGGTTTACGAACATTTCGGATTACGAACAGCTTTCAGGAATGAATTAAGTTCATGAACCGAGGTTCCACTGTATATACCGAATATACACGTGTAACCCGCAATCACGCATATCGTGCGACCGCCCCCCCCACAATTTTCACTTGTAAAAATGATTTTATCATGTATCTCGTCTATCATGCGAGTTCCTTTGTGAGAGATCAAACTACAATAACCTTTTCCTCTATTTATGCCATCTTCTAGTTAAATAAGTTTTAAAAAAGTAAAAGAGAATGATAAAAGTATCGTTAGTAAGGCTATACTCGTTGTGTAAACGCGTACAGACATAAACAACAAAACGAGAAACAGCTGTCTTGCTATGATCAGATCTCGATTAGCTAAAATTATCATATAATTGTAAACAATGGAAAAAGATGCATATTCACTATGTTTGTATTTTTTAATACGATATTAATATGTGAATGTTACATGCATTAGAATTGGATATAGTTAAGTAAAACATCAGTCTTATTAAAATCATGTTTATTTTAAATACAGCTGTACTTTTTGACTACAGTTTGGTCAATGGCGTAGCCAGGGCCAGCAGCACATATGCTAATTTTATATCTCATGTATGATGTGACCCCTTAAAATTAGCCTCAAAAGTCACACGATACGCGAGTATACCTATATATATATATATATATATATATATATATATATATATTAATCCGTTGGTATAGCCAGGCGAGTCCTATTAACACAATATAGAATTTGAAATATGTTAAAATTGACTCACAAAGAGCACTCAATGTTTATTTTCGTAAAACAGAGCAAAAATTCTCTTTATAATTGGAATTAAGATACCTTTAGTTAATGATCATTTTCACCTACGAATTTTAATTTTAAAATTCGCAGATTTTTTCAACCTGTGAATTCAATTGTAAAAATATATATATATATATATATATATATATATATATATATATATATATATATATATACGCTTATTATTGTACCCTGACCTATTACGCGTCATTTTCTTAAAACATACGATGTTAGGAGCGACTGAGATTTGGCAAGGTACTTTCCTCTTAATAGTTCTTATATCCATAAGTGAAACTGACGGACCGCGATCAAATCACGGACTGGTATACGCTCACTTTCGCTCGAACGACCTTGGTAAAGGCATGTATATACTTCACTTCTCTTCATGGCTATGGATTACATAGAAGCGTAGATTGGGCTCCCTTGACTTGGGCGGCAACCCGTCTAAGTGAATGAAAACTCTTAATTCCAAAACCGCAAACTGGAAACCACTCCGCTATATTTCCCAAGAGTTTAAGACAATTCACAGATAATAAAGAAAAGGAACTTATGGAGAAACATAATCGCCTACGACATGAGGGGACATGCTATTTTTAATTTAATATCTGTGTGATACAAAAGCAAAAAAATGTCCCTAAGAATTTTGTCAACAAAGAAATGGTTCCGAGTATTGGCCGGGTAACCTTTCATATGTTGTACACGAACTTTTAGCTATATGTCCGCATAAAATGTTTCTTAGATCAACTAGATAGGCTGCTTATAGCAATGAATATAGACAATGTATTAAATTTTTAAAACGTAATGCAATAATTTAATTATTTTTGAAGATTTAAATGCAATAAAATATGATAAAACAATAATTTTCATTGTCTCCGAAAATTATTCCCAATTACGTCATAACTGATATTTATTTCCTAATAGAAAAAAATTGATGCTATACTCAAAAATCTAAAAAGTAGTCATTATAGAAATTATAGGTTGTGATGAAAACTAGTTAATAATTACGGATTTTGAAAAAAAAAAACCTTTAAAATATAGTGAAAAGTATATTTGTTTATATTAGGTGTCGATTACCAGTCAACTCAGTTTAAAAGTTAAGCAGGTACTGACAACTTTCCTGAACCATATGTGATAGTAAATCGTGCTTGAATTTACTAGCGTCTCGTGGGACAGTTGAAGTATGGATAACCTAAAAAAGTGAAAACGTGATATTACGCCTATATTAAAACCTCGACATGTAACCAACAACACTAATATTTACATATTTCCACACAGGCGTCATTGCTCCCAGTGCTCGGTGTTAAAAAAAAAAGTGTGTGTGGGGGGAGAGGGGGTTGAATGCTGATTTTCTCGATAGGCAGGGCTTTATTTTTCACCATCTGGTCTTGGCTAGACTTAATGACTGTAGATCGAGATTAAAAGAGAAAAGACAAGTTGGAGAACACCCACAAGATGAAAATATGTCTAGACAATTTCACTTTCTTCTTTGCCGAGGGTGGATGTGTGAGTGTCTGGTGTCTGGGCATACATATTTTGTGCTTTCGTGTGTGTGTGTGTGTGTGTGTGTGTGTGTGTGTGTGTGTGTGTGTGTGTGTGTGTGTGTGTGTGACATTGCATGCCTGTGTAAATATCGCTGGGGTATCAACATATTTTGAGAGAAGGAAATTAAGGAATATCTCATTACTTCTGCATGTCTATGAAAAATTGATTCATAAAAAGAAATGGTCTTTTGTATATAGAATCACAAGAATACTAAATTGGCATTTTATAAGTATTTAATTTTTACCAGACATTTTGACTAAACAGGAAGGCTTCTATTTTCAAAGACAAACCCAAGATACACGATTTATTCCTGAAAGTGAACCATTCCTGTCTTTCATTGTATTAGAAAATTCAAAAGATAAATATGAAGAGGCTGAAATAGACAGACATGAAGAGGGCGAAAGATAGATAGATAGATAGATAGATAGACATGAAGAGTCTGAAATAGAGAGCGAAATAGATAGATAGATAGATAGATAGATAGGCATGAAGAGGCTGAAATAAAAGACTGAAATAGATATACATTAAGAGACTGAAATACATAACGTATTTATCACTCAACATAATAATGTCTCAATGAGTAGAACAAATGAAAATTCAACACACTCACGATGGTTAGCGAGATTAGACTTAACCATTGATTTCTAGCAGGCGCCGATACATGAATGAACATGTGCGTGTTTGCAGATTTCAAAATCCAGGTATAGGCGTTATTTTTTTTTCAAATAAATGTTTTCTAAAAGGAGTGTGGAAAAGCAAAAAAAAAAGAGAAACAAAAAAAAACAATAAACAAAAACAAAACAAATTGACAAAGGAGTTAAGGACCTCGACTAACAAAAAAAATATCAGTATATCAACGGTAAGGCGTCATTTATGAAAGACAAGCACACGAGTCTCACTGCAAGTCATGTTATTTTTTTTTGTTTTGTTTTTGGCGCCTATTTTGTGCTTGAATGACGGAAAAGACCCGATAAGAATGTTGGGATACATAGAAAGATAAAAAAAAAGATGAAGAAACCAGTAAGAATGGAACAAGAAAACTTGTGTAAAGAAGTTTAGGCTTTTAAAAAGGGATCTTCTTATCGAGTCGCAACACTATATCCACCCAGTGTTGCACACAAAGCCTTGCCTGGGGTGTTATGGTTTCAGGGTCGTTAATTGTGCATGAATCTTCAAGACTAGGGCAAACTAGAAGATGCTCCATAGTTTGTGATTGCCCGCATTGGCAGATTGGGTCATCATCGGTTGGCTCAAACACTTGTTTCGGGGCGGGGTGTGATACAGGCAGGAGCAGAAGGGACAGGTATCAATGTAGCCAAGGATGAAACCTCTCGCTTTTGAATTGATTATTAATCATCCAAGGATGAAAATTATAAGCATTATGCAAATATTGCAACATTAACAATATTAAATACACATATTTATTTGTTCAACATCGCCTACAAATACGTTGTAGTTGAAAATCAGTTTTCAAAATAATATTTTTATATCAGGGTTTAAACTATTATCCTTAACGACAATCTTCTTTTTCGGGTCGCTATACCATCCCCATCCAGTCTTGGATGACCGTTTCCCCGTGGATCGATAGACACCCGAGGAAGGCCGGGATGCACAACGGCTGAAACATTGTGATAATGAACATGAAGACAATTGTTCGAATATAAATAATGTATATAATACAGTCAATCCTTTATGTGCCATAAGTGATACATGCATAGGCGATCATGTATCTTTCGATATATGACTGCAGATTTTTTCCCGCAGTAGGCTGCCATTTTTTTCTGCGGTAGACCAGTTGTAATCCAGGGCTATAGAACCCAGTCTGTCCTGCTATTTACCCAGAGCTGGAGGGGGAGGGAGGGAGAAGAAGAGGATTCATACCTTTCCTGAGGCTATTAGCATGTAAGTGAATGTAACTAATTCGACTGGAATTCGAACTCCGCTCTCGGATTCCTCAGTTCGAGCCACTATCCATTACTACGTAATTATAATGTTGACGGTTTATTTCAAATTAGTATCTGCCTTATTTTGTTGCAATTTTAAAAAAATGGTTGAATTATTTCTTCAGTAGTAGAGCCTTTTAAATAAATTTGATTTCGCAAAACTAAATAAAATAAAGTTCACAGACTGTCAATCAGTTATGTGCCATGCGTGATACACGCTTAGGAGATCATGTATCTTTCGATACATGACTGACAGGGCAGATTTTTTTCCCCGCAGTAGGTTTCCATTTCTTTTTGCGGTAGACCAGTTGCCATCCAAGTTTATAGAACCCGGTCTGTCCTGCTATTTACCCATAGCTGGAGGAGGAAGAAGAGGATTCATACTTTTCCCAAGGATATTAGCATGTAAGTGAATGTAATGGATTCGACTGGAATTACAAGAGGTATTAAAAAGTTCTCGGTTGGACCAAAAAAGGAATGCCCTAGAAACATGAAACGCACTTTCGGTCTTCCTTCCGCAGTTCAGCACACGTGGCACACTGATTCTCAATTTCATTTAATCTTTGACTACCGTCTACTGAGTTAACTATCCGAGGAGTAGACAACGACTTGAATAAAACAGATGACTAAAAATGAACTTGATAAACAGACGTAGTGATAATGACGAGTTCTTTGGGTAAATCCAAAAGAAAATCTAATAACACCTAATAATTTAAATATGATAACCTCACCTATTATTGTGTAACAACTGTAGACTTTTCCAACCAACACACACCTTACTACTTACACAGGATTGAATCACCTTCATTGCCCCCGTACTCTTGTGGTAAGAAAGACGTTCGACTCTGAAAACTTCCCAAGAACAATTAATTGGAAAAGTAATCTTCCTTGAACACAAGAATCTTTCGAATCTACGGTCAATCGTTATTTATCCATTATATCCTCGTAATTTACACTTCCTACACTTACGTTTATATCATGCACTTCATTCAACAACACTCTACTTCGAGTGGCTCTTGAACCTTTATTGGATGAACTTTAGCAAACAAATAAAAAAAGATCCACCGTCTTCTTCTTCTACGTGTCGTGTCCTCTCAAAATGTGGATGATCGTGGCTCTCCACAATTTCCTGTACTTTGTAGCTCTCAGTAAAGTTTGTCTTTTTGCTGTCTCTCCTAATCCCTGATCTGTTAGGTAAAGTTAATGCGCTGATTTCCATTATCTCTCTTTATTTTCAATATATCCAGTGACTGTCAAATTTTCCAAGCCCTCTTTCCTCATTAAGGTGCCCTAGAAATTTCAACTGCCTCTTTCTAATTCTAATTATGTGTCCTTTTTGTCTCCATTTTATTTAAAAATTTCGTCGTAACGGAAGTTAAGCCGGATCAGTACCTAAATGGGTGACTGCTGTAGATTACCAGGGGCTGTTAGCTTGGATCTGCGGGTGGAGTAATGGATAACGGCTCGTAATGAGAAATCGGGGAGCCGCTGAGTTTGAAGTCTGTCGGGTTCGTTATATTTGCTTACGGGCAAATACCCTTTGGAAAGGTATGAATCCACACCTTCTCCTCCAATCTATGGGCTAAATAATAGAACTTGTATCGGGAAATCATTATTGTCTCCCAAAAATTCTTACAATCCCAAAATATGTTTCGGCTTTAAATATGCTGAAAAGGTTGACAAGCCGCAAAAAACAAATACAATAAATAAATTTCCCATCGTTATCGACGTATGAAAGTACAGCAACTCAGTACTTAGAACCGAATAACCAGTACTACCCACACATGTTTGATGAAAGCGGTGAAGACTTGTGTATAACCAGACTTTTTGGAAAAGCCGAATACAGAGAACTGGTTCAAAGTTTGTCACAAGACTCCCAAACAACACTACTTAAGTTTTAAATTCAGAGTTGTCCTTCTCGTAGGCCAGTTGCTACCCAAGGCTATCGGACCCCATTTATCTTGTTATTTACCCATAACAAAGAGGACTCATACCTTTCCCAAAGGTATTTGTATGTAAGGGAATGTAACAAACTCTTCTCTCCGATTCCTCAAGCAGCTATCCATTACTCCAGCATTCCTCCACATTATATATATATATATATATATATACACGCCCACTTTACACATTTGAATCTGAAGAGCTCTTGCCAACTGAATGCAGAACATTCTTTCTTTGATGAGTAGTCGTCTTCCATCTTTCTGAACACGCCAAAAGCGACTATTACAGAAGGCGTTGGAATTTAGGTCGAAGGTTAAGTATTTGTTTTCCATTGATGAATTTTTTCCGAACTTTTCGATAGTACCTCCTTTGCTATTGATTTCGAGTTCAATTCTCAATTCAATATCCATTCACTTTTCTCTGTGCGCATGCGTGCGAGTGAGAGAAAGAGAAAAAGAGAAATTGATTCTCGTGTTCTTCTTTCATCTTGTCAGGCAGTTTTAGAGAAATTCGTTCACAAAAGAATAAAGAATTACATCTTGGCTTCGTAAAGTCTAGAGAGTCAACGACCAGATAATGAAATCATACACAACATACACACACACACACACGCAGACACACAGACATATACATATATTCTGTATATTTTCTTTATAATGCTTAGTTCATGTCGAAAGTTGTTAATATATTTTTCCCAGTATTTTTGTATCGAATTAGGGAAATGTGCTATGATTTATTATTTAAACATATATACAAACACGCATATTTCTTTCTTTCGTTTTTGAATCTGATGAAGCCTAGAATGGCAAAACGCGTAATCAAATCTAATTTCAATGAAACTTTTCAATTTTCAAATTTATTAAAAACTTTGTCGATATTCTATATCCCATTTTAAGTACACACACACACACATATATATATATATATATATTTGATATATATATGTGTGTGTGTGTGTATGTGTGCGTGTTAGTAGTATATAGAATCAGAACAACTTTTTTGATAAATCAAAGTATAAAACGTTTATTGACTACGCGTTTCGCTAGATGAGCTTCTTCTATCTATCTACATATCTATCTTTTATCTATCTACATATCTATCTATCTATCTCACTCACTCACTTTGTTCTTATCTATCTATCTATCTATCTATCTACTTATGCATGCGTGCACATAAAAATAGCAAGAGACGCGCCCGCCTGTCTATGAAAGGAATATGTGTGTTTATGTGTGTTTTTAATATTAAAATGTTTGCCCAACAAACATAATAGTGATTTATATATATATATATATATATATATATATATATATATATATATATATATATATATAATATGTATGTATTGTATATGTATTCATTTGAAGTGGTACTGAAAAGTCAACGGCTATGCATATTTCCCAAAATCATTCTATGAAAAACCATCCATATATTGATTTCTATCAGTTCTTCTGTATGGCAGTGAACGTTGAAAATCTTGAAGGTGAAGAAACAGAAATATGGTTTAACAAAAACATGCTGTGAATACCTTGGAACGATTATGTGAGCAACAACGAACTTTTAGAGGAAAATGGTACCAAAAGGGACACTTATTTTTAACATCAGTAAGAGACATTTGAAATTTTTAGAGAACATTATTGTTTGGAAAATTGAATACTCACAGGACAGATTGGAGGCAAGAGGGACTGCGAAAATCTACGTAGCGATCCTGAGTAAATGGATGTTAGGAAAGGGTTAACACTAACAGAGATAACAAAAAAAGCTACACAGGACAGGAAAATGAGGAGAGCCGAAAGAGACACGGAACATAGACGAACAAAAACAAGAAGAAGAAAAAATTAATTTCTGGAAGCAGAACGAACCGAGAACATTTCAGTACCAGTCTATCGCACTCTGTTCTTATCTATCTATCTATCTATCTATCTATCTATCTATCTATCTATCAGTCTGTTCTTATCTATCTATCTATCTATCTATCAGTCTGTTCTTATCTATCTATCTATCTATCTATCTATCAGTCTGTTCTTATCTATCTATCTATCTATCTATCTATCAGTCTGTTCTTATCTATCTATCTATCTATCTATCTATCTATCTATCTATCTATCTATCCCAGTCTGTTCTTTATCTATCTATCTATCTATCTATCTATCTATCTATCTATCCCAGTCTGTTCTTTATCTATCTATCTATCTATCTATCCCAGTCTGTTCTTTATCTATCTATCTATCTATCTATCTATCCCAGTCTGTTCTTTATCTATCTATCTATCTATCTATCTATCTATCCCAGTCTGTTCTTTATCTATCTATCTATCTATCTATCTATCTATCTATCCCAGTCTGTTCTTTATCTATCTATCTATCTATCTATCAGTCTGTTCTTTATCTATCTATCTATTTATCTATCTATCTATCTATCAGTCTGTTCTTTATCTATCTATCTATCTATCCCAGTCTGTTCCTTATCTATCTATCTATCTATCTATCTATCTATCCTTAGTCTGTTCTTTATCTATCTATCTATCTATCTATCTATCTATCCAGTCTGTTCTTTCTGTTCTATCTATCTATCTATCTATCTATCTATCCCAGTCTCTTTATCTATCTATCTATCTATCTATCCATCCCAGTCTCTTTATCTATCTATCTATCTATCCATCCCAGTCTCTTTATCTATCTATCTATCTATCTATCCCAGTCTGTTCTTTATCTATCTATCTATCTATCTATCCCAGTCTGTTCTTTTATCTATCTATCTATCTATCTATCTATCTATCTATCCCAGTCTGTTCTTTATCTATCTATCTATCTATCTATCCCAGTCTGTTCTTTATCTCTATCTATCTATCTATCTATCAGTCTATCCCAGTCTGTTCTCTATCTATCTATCTATCTATCTATCTATCTATCTATCTATCCAGTCTGTTCTTTATCTATCTATCTATCTATCTATCTATCTATCTATCTATCTATCAGTCTGTTCTTTATCTATCTATCTATCTATCTGTTCTTATCTATCTATCTATCTATCCAGTCTGTTCTTCTTTATCTATCTATCTATCTATCTATCTATCTATCTATCTATCTATCTATCTATCCCAGTCTGTTCTTTATCTATCTATCTATCTATCTATCTATCCCAGTCTGTTCTTTATCTATCTATCTATCTATCTATCTATCTATCCCAGTCTGTTCTTTATCTATCTATCTATCTATCTATCTATCTATCCCAGTCTGTTCTTTATCTATCTATCTATCTATCTATCTATCTATCTATCTATCTATCTATCTATCCCAGTCTGTTCTTTATCTATCTATCTATCTATCTATCTATCCCAGTCTGTTCTTTATCTATCTATCCCAGTCTGTTCTTTATCTATCTATCTATCTATCTATCTATCTATCCCAGTCTGTTCTTTCTATCTATCTATCTATTCTATCTATCTATCTATCTATCTATCGCACTCTGTTCTTTATCTATCTATCTATCTATCTATCTATCTATCGCACTCTGTTCTTTATCTATCTATCTATCTATCTATCACTCTGTTCTTTATCTATCTATCTATCTATCTATCTATCGCACTCTGTTCTTTATCTATCTATCTATCTATCTATCTATCTATCCCAGTCTGTTTTCTTATCTATCTATCTATCTATCTATCTATCTATCCAGTCTGTTCTTTATCTATCTATCTATCTATCCCAGTCTGTTCTTTATCTATCTATCTATCTATCCCAGTCTGTTCTTTATCTATCTATCTATCTATCTCAGTCTGTTCTTTATCTATCTATCTATCTATCTCAGTCTGTTCTTTATCTATCTATCTATCTATCTATCTCAGTCTGTTCTTTATCTATCTATCTATCTATCTATCTCAGTCTGTTCTTTATCTATCTATCTATCTATCTCAGTCTGTTCTTTATCTATCTATCTATCTATCTCAGTCTGTTCTTTATCTATCTATCTATCTCAGTCTGTTCTTTATCTATCTATCTATCTATCTATCTATCCCAGTCTGTTCTTTATCTATCTATCTATCTATCTAAGTCTGTTCTTTATCTATCTATCTATCTATCTAAGTCTGTTCTTTATCTATCTATCTATCTATCTATCTATCTATCTATCTATCCCAGTCTGTTCTTTATCTATCTATCTATCTATCTATCTATCTATCCCAGTCTGTTCTTTATCTATCTATCTATCTATCTATCCCAGTCTGTTCTTTATCTATCTATCTATCTATCTATCTATCCCAGTCTGTTCTTTATCTATCTATCTATCTATCTATCTATCTATCTATCCCAGTCTGTTCTTTCTATCTATCTATCTATCTATCTATCTCATCTGTCCCATTCTGTTCTTCTATCTATCTATCTATCTATCCCAGTCTGTTCTTATTATCTATCTATCTATCTATCCCAGTCTGTTCTTTATCTATCTATCTATCTATCTCAGTCTGTTCTTTATCTATCTATCTATCTATCTCAGTCTGTTCTTTATCTATCTATCTATCTATCTATCTATCTCAGTCTGTTCTTTATCTATCTATCTATCTATCTATCTCAGTCTGTTCTTTATCTATCTATCTATCTATCTATCTCAGTCTGTTCTTTCTATCTATCTATCTATCTATCTATCTATCTATTCTTTCTCTTCTTATCTCTATCTATCTCAGTCTGTTCTTTATCTATCTATCTATCTATCTCAGTCTGTTCTTTATCTATCTATCTATCTATCTCAGTCTGTTCTTATCTATCTATCTATCTATCTCAGTCTGTTCTTATCTATCTATCTATCTATCTCAGTCCGTTCTTATCTATCTATCTATCTATCTATCTCAGTCTGTTCTTATCTATCTATCTATCTATCTCAGTCTGTTCTTATCTATCTATCTATCTATCTCAGTCTGTTCTTATCTATCTATCTATCTATCTATCTCAGTCTGTTCTTATCTATCTATCTATCTATCTCAGTCTGTTCTTATCTATCTATCTATCTATCTATCTATCTATCTATCTACTTATGCATGCATGCACATAAAAATAGCAAGAGACGCGCCCGCCTGTCTATGTATTTATGTTGTGTCTCAACGTCGAAAGTTATTTTCCCCAAATAGACAAACATGTTGCTAATGAATATTCTTCTTCTATTTAACTCAAACAGATTTTGATCATGTTTCGTTATTTATTCTCACTCACTCCAGGATTTGGTGAACGAAAGAGAAGAATGAACGACGAAAAAGAGAGAGATAGCGAGTTGGTGGAAGTAAGGAAAGTGAGTGAGAGTGCAAGAAGAAAGAGAAGAAAAGAGAAAGAGTGGGAGAGAGCGGTAGTGAAGAGAGCGAGACTGTAGAAAAAGAGTAATAGTCAAACTAACAGAATACAATATACAGACCGACAGGAAAGAGAGAGAGAAAAAGTGTGATAAAAGGAAAAAGAGTGAGACAGTGACAAAAGGAAAACGAGAGAGAGAGAGAGAGAGAGAGAGAGAGAGAGAGACCGCAACGAAAGGAAGACAAGACAGAGACAGACAGACAGGGATGACAGGAAAACGAGTGTGATGAATGAAAAAGAGAGAATAACGAATGAAAAAGAGAGAAAGAGTGACGAATGAGAGAGAGAAAGAGAAAGAAAAATACGAAGAATGAAAGAGAGAGAAAGCATGTAGGTGATGTATTATAAAAGTGAGTAGACAAAGAAAAAATGAGAGAGAGAGAGAGTTTGAAAAAAGGTAAATAAACGAATGAGAGAAAGAGAGAGAGAGAGAGAGAGGGTAGAAATAAATGATTGAAGAAACGAGAGAGTGGGAAATAAATGATTTAAGAAATGAGAGAGGGGGAAATAAATGATTGAAGAAATGAGAGAGGGGGAAATAAATGATTGAAGAAATGAGAGAGGAAAGTGGAAAAATCGAGTAAAGAGAGAATCAGGAGCGATAAAGATGGAAAAAAAGATGGGAAAATGTAATGTGAACGAAATATACATAATAATGTAGATACATACACAGTACGTGTGTGCGTTTGTGTTTGTGTGTGTATGTGTGTGTGTGTACGCGCGTGTATGCATCTTCATTATGTTGCAAGTGGTGTTTTTTTTTTTTCTTTTCCATAAATAAGAAAAGGAAACATTACTTGAGATTTGAAGAATTTTTAAAGTCTCCAGACACTGGAAGATATCTGATTAGCTTTCTTTCGGTTGTGAAGGAAAAAAAAAAAAACAATGACAGACTGTGTTTTTGATTGTCGTACGTAAATAAAAAGACACGATGCACATAAAGAAAAAGAGTCGAAATGAATTCGGGCAAATTGAAGGTTAATATTTCCGATGAAATACAAGATAGGGAGATATAGAGATAAGAAGAAAGTAGATATGAGCAAACTAAATCCGGAAATAGGAATGCATGAACGTACACAGATTTACTGTCATATAAATTCATTGGCCAAAGTCAAAGAGATTGAAATACATAAACGAGATATATTTAAGCTTAGTTTTTTCTTTTTAAAGGATGGTCGAAAATGAAGAGATAGTGTCGAGCTTACTTTCAGGGGGGGGGGGGTAGGCTTGCAAAGTCAACACTAAGAATCCAGTAGAAAATGTGCAACTACTTACTTGGATCACCCGAGATGCCCAGCTGACTGAGTGAAAAAAACTGATAGAAAGAGGCTGAGACGGATAGAAAAGAAAAAGAAGAGTGTATTACGCCAGTTTTTCAAACTAGGGAGATTCAACTTATCTTGAAGGAATTCGAAATCGTGGACTTTATCTAGCCTTGATTTAGCTTAACTCAAGTATCGTTTGCTAATAATAATAAAACGCCCGGAGAGTGTCAAATGGGGTCGAAAAGGAAGAAAATCCTGGTGACTTACGACTAAACCTCACCAATTTCCAAACAAATATCTGTGCTCCATTTTTACTGTAGTGTATATCAAACATTTCATTCCCATTATTAATGATGTTATTGTTATGTTAACCAATTCAACAAAAGATATATTTATTTTTTAATGTCTATTATTCAATCAGTTATATGCCATGCTTAGGCGATCATGTATCTTTCGATACATGACTGACGAGGCAGATTTTTTCCTGCAGTATGTTGCGATTTCTTTCTGCGGTTTCTGCCATTCAAGGCTATAGAACCCGTTCTGTCCTGCTATTTACCTATAGCTGGGGGGGGGAGAAGAAGAGGATTTATACCAAGGGTATTAGCACGTAAGTGAATGTAATGGAATTTGAACTCGGTTCTCTGATTCATCCATTGCTCTATCATTATTATTATTATTATTATTATTATTATTATTATTACAACAAACAAGTATAGGAAAAGAAGTAGAATTTAAACAAAGAATAAGAAAACGTAAATATAAAATAAAATGAATCTTATCGAGAAACAATAATGAAGTGTAGGCCTACTTTTTTTGGTCCACCCTGTATGAAGAGAGCTAAATAAATCATTGAGGGTTTTTTTTTTTTTAGAGAGATTTTGAAAATGCTAGGGAATAATAAAGTTGGTTTGCTCAAATCTCCAGAGTGTTAGATCATCTTATGAAATTTGGAATTCTGTTTTGGTTTTATCAAGAGCAAAGACAGTCGACGCAAACTCGTTAATGTTTTAGCCATTGTACAGAAAGAGAAACAAAAAGAGGAAAATGGGATACTTGTGTGGGTATGGAGTTAGCGGGCGCTGAAGAGGTTGGTCAGCTGTTTTGGCGACGGATGAGGTAGAGAAAGAGATCCTGTTTAGCACCAAAAATCTGGGCGAATGTAGAAAACCAACAATGTTTTGTTAAAAACAAATCTAAGAAAGGATAAAATTCGTTAGAATCTATCTGACATATTTAAAAGCCTACCATTCATCCTCGCTTTGAATATTGCTGTCACTTCCCGTCTGGTGCTCCTGCTATATATTTTAAAATTCTTGATCAAATCCAAAGAATCTGCAGGGTTATTGCTCCCTTTCCCACGACTGTAACCATAGCTTTACTGTGCTTTAAATATTTTCATGGTAATTGTTCTGATGAAATTTCCGCTGTGGTACCTAGACTTTATGAATTTAAGCACAGTACTAGATTGGCAGCTAGGTCTCATCATTTCACGGAATGGCTAGATTTAACCATAAGCTCTAGGCTAACAGTTACTTCTATCGCACTTCTTGCTTGTGAAATTCTCTTCCGGCTTCTTGCTTCCCATTCAACTTTGATCTTCAAAAACTTAAATGCAATGTCAATCGTTATCTTTTGTCTTCTTAATTCTTGTTGTTTTATTGTTTTCTCACCTTAATGGTAGTTTTTCTCATATTCTCTCACACTCAGTACTCCCCACCCTTGCGTCTTAGTGGCTTTATTGCCTTGCCTGGAATGAAATGATTATTAAAAAAATGACGATCGGCTAAGTAAGCTATGAAGATATTTTTATGTGCGAGACTGATCGTCTAAAAGTTTGGGAGTAAGGTTTGCGCGGTTTGGCCGGCTAAGTGCAAACCTTACGGCCAGAAACTGAGTATGTATCATCCACCAATTTTATATGCATGTCCCTTCAGGACGTAGGCGATCATGGCTCTCCGCAGATTTTTTACTTGTCAAATGAATCCCCATGATTTTTCAGGAAGGAAGATGGTGTGGTTTTCCGATGACATTGTTCACGGTTTGGAATTCCGAGTCGTCTTTCTCCTAGATTGGCTGCCACCCAAGGCTAATGTCTAGTCTTCCCTTTATTAATTACATTTTATTTAACCCATAGCTGCTGGGGGAGAGAAGAGATGGATTCATACCTTCTCTATAGGCATTTTTGCGTTTAAATGAACTTAACGGGCGAGGCTGGAATTTGAACACGGCTCGTCTATTTTACTTCTCCACCTCGACAGTCGTATCTCTCTTTGAACACATCAAAAGACACTTTCAAGTTTTTTCTCTTCACATTATTATTTTCTTTCTTATATGCCGGTTCCTGTCAAGGCTGATAACCGTGTGATACATTTTTTTTTTAGTAATAACTGCCTTAACGTCAGTAAAGGGAAAAGAAAGCATATAACAATTTATTATTTATATATAGTAATTTTCTAAGCGTAGCTTAGATGTGGCACAAGGCCAAAAAGCATGTTCCAAGCGTAGCTTAGACGTGGCACTTACTACTCAGTTGTACTTCTAGCGAGACAAGCTTGCTAACCAGTACATCACATCGAGGTACCTGCATGTACGTTTGTAAAGAAAGATAGATACCTTTTCTTTTTATCCCTCTGTAAACATAGTTCTTGATTTATCATGTGTATATAATACTGTATGTATTTCTTTTTATTGCTTGATGATTTTTCTTGTGGGGGTAGCACCCGCCGTTGGTGATAAGCTTAAAACCACATTGTGTGCAAACACTGAATAATACACAGCTCAAAAAAGCTTTTTTCGTTTTCTGTTTTTTTTTTTATTATTATTTTATCTTCGCGCATGGGTGGGGAGATTATGAAAAGAAGTTCTTGGCCCGACACACACTTCCCACAAATTTGTATTTCAATGATCAATCATTAGACTACTAGTGATTTGGGGAATCGAGTTGGGCTGAGAACTTTTCAGCACAACATCGTAAAAAAAAATTAATTTCCACGAAGAGCAAACTCGTTACGGTGTAATGGACCACAGGAAAAGCTCCTTAACCATTACTTCACCCACAGACTTTACATATCTTTTTATCTGTTAGAATTACCAAATCAGTGCATGGTTACTTTGGAAATCTGGGTCTTTTTCAAAATTACTCCTCTCCCCACTCTCTCCGTTTGTCTGTGTATATAAGCATGTGTTAAAAAAACAAATGCATGTGTATATATGTGCATATGACGTATCTGTGTACTTGTGAACGTTACATTGAAGTATGTGTGTGCATGTGTCTGTGTGCGTGTTTGAAGTTACAGGAAGCGTCGTGAGACTTATGTCCGTACGAGTGACTGTGACTTAAGAGGAGTTAGTGTAAAAAGCGTGTCATTATGGTGATGAATGTATGTTATTAAATTACGATTGTGTTTTCATCTTTTTTGCCTGAACAGATTAGAGAGTGAGAAAGAGAGAGAGAGAGAGAGAGAGAGAGAGAGAGAGATCAGTGTGTGTGTGTGTAAGAGAGAATGATAGAAAGAGAAACAGGTAAAACGGAAAGAAGAGAAACAGACAGACAGAAATAGAAATAAGGAGAAACAGACGGACAGAACAAAAGAGAAAGGGAAACAGAGGTAGAACGATAGAAACAGAGAGGTAGAACGATAGAAACAGAGAGGTAGAACGATAGAAACAGAGAGGTAAAAAGAGGAATAGAGCGAGAGAGATATAAAAAGACGGACAGAGCAAGAGAGATATAAAAAAAGGATAGAGCAAACAGAATAGAGTCTATAACCAGAACGATAGAGCGAGATATAAACAGAGTTAAACAGATACAGAGATAGTCAATAGATAGATAGATAGATAGATGAACAAACTGAGACGAACAGACTGAGATAGATAGGTAGATAGATAGACAGATGAAGACTGGGAGAGAGAGAGATTATGAAGAGACTGAGATAGATAGATAGATAGATGAAGACTGGGAGAAAGAGAGATATTATGAAGAGACTGAGAGATAGATAGATAGATAGATAGATAGATAGATAAAGACTGGGAGAGAGAGAGAGATATTATGAAGAGACTGAAATAGATAGATAGATGAAGACTGGGAGAGAGAGATATTATGAAGAGACGGAGATAGATAGATAGATAGATGAAGACTGGGAGAGATATTATGAAGAGACTGAGATAGATAGATAGATAGATGAAGACTGGGAGAGAGAGAGATATTAAGGAGAGAGAGATAGATAGATGAAGACTGGGAGAGAGAGAGATATTAAAGAAGAGACTGAGAGAGATAGATAGATAGATAGATAGATAGATAGATAGATAGATAGATAGATGAAGACTGGGAGAGAGAGATATTATGAAGAGACTGAGATAGATAGATAGATGAAGACTGGGAGAGAGAGATATTATGAAGAGACTGATAGATAGATAGATAGATGAAGACTGGGAGAGAGAGATATTAAAGAAGAGACTGAGATAGATAGATAGATAGATGAAGACTGGGAGAGAGAGAGATATTATGAAGAGACTGAGATAGATAGATAGATAGATGAAGACTGGGAGAGAGAGATATTATGAAGAGACTGAGATAGATAGATAGATAGATGAAGACTGGGAGAGAGAGAGATATTATGAAGAGACTGAGATAGATAGATAGATAGATGAAGACTGGGAGAGAGAGAGATATTATGAAGAGACTGAGATAGATAGATAGATAGATAGATAGATAGATAGATAGATAGATAGACTATCTATCAGTCTGTTTATATCTATCATATTCTATTATTAATTCTCTATCATCTCAGATAGATAAATACTATTTTCAAATTTTGCATATGGAAAAACTCAATCTCAGTTTAAAAATGTCACATATGTGAAAATAATATTTCCGCAGTGTAAGTGCTAGATTAACCGTTTAAAATTGGGGATGTTAAAAATATCATGATAACCATACTGTGTACTGTACGTGTGTATGTCTCCGCTTCAAGGCACGAACTAGCATCATCTGTTTAAAAATAAATTGCGGTTTTTATCAGCTGAGACGCAACTCGTACTCCATAAAACTCCATATATGTTTATAAAAATTTTTTTTTTATTAACGAAACACTAAACATGGAAAACAAGATCGTATCGGAATCTGTCATTGGAAGAATTTGACTCGAACAAGAATCAGCTGATTAAAAAGTGCACGCTTTTACCAACTGAGCCGCGTCTTTAAAATTACCATTCACACCAGCCTGATCTAGAGATGCATTGGTAAATAAAGCCTTTGTACTAGTTAACTACTAAGAAGATATTAGTTTGGAAGATACCATCAGAAACGAGGAGGAAGTCTATTATAATAAAATAAATCTAGAAGATAAAGAAAAAGAATGTACTACAAAATTTGCAGTTTGGAGATAAACTGACTGACTAAAAACTAAAAAGGATGATCAGTGTCATGCATGTTCATTCTTGTAGTCGGAGACAACCGAACCCCTGCTCTAAGTTCTAATGCTAGTCTTTTAAGAGGACGTGACTTAGTGACCGTAAAACGTAAAGTACGTACTAACTAAACGTTATTGGTAACCGACTGATTAGTTAAGAAAACATCGTCTATTTTTTCGTAAAGATCAGTCTGAAACATTCGTCAAACTACATGATGTGATTCAACACCGTTTTGCGTTCTCGCTCATTAGACGGTGAGAAATGAACAGTTGAAATTAAAATGACCTGACAGTGACAGACAATACTTAAATTTACATACGACTTTGAATGTTTACTTAAACGAATAGGTGCGTACGTAACAATTTTGTGAAGAAAAACTTTTAAAAAATAGAGAGATAGAGAGAGAAAAGAAACTAACAACAAAGAAAGAGTACTATATCCAAAGTAAATGCACACGCATCGTTTTTACCTCAAAAAGTGAATTGAAAAAGAGATCTTTACCCTCGTAAAAACAAAACAAAAATACCTGATTATCTCCCTTGACAGGGGCGCTCCAGAAAGCCTGGACGAGTGATTGAAACTATTTTCATTCATGTTTTTAAATCTATTCGTCCCTCGAGTAGATCAATTTCCTCCTGATAAGACTTCAATTTCATCATAATAATCCCGTGAATTGGAAGTTTTATTAGTAGTTCATGGTAAATAAATATGCTAATTAAACGAGTAAACCTTTAAGTATGTATAAATAGTGTATTTAAATTTATATTAAATTTTAAAAAATAGTTGTGCGAGCGACTGTTAATTTGCTAATAATACTTGACGATTTGTTTTCCAGATATGTCTAAAAAAAAACAAAAACAAAAAAAAGAGAAAACAATCGGGGTTCAAGTTCAATGACTGCTGAACAATAAATGAACTCGTCAATAAAACAAGTACTTTTAAAAAAGCGTGAAAATAGATGTGTGTACGTAACATGCCTAAAAAAGAACTATATATTGTATACAGTATATTACGTACAAAAGATAAGAATTCGTTATATGTGGGTGTGTGCGTGTTTTACATGCGTATGGTAGGTGCGTGTGTTTTTTGAAGATTAAACAAATAACAATTTACAAATAAATAAATAAAAACTAACCTCTTTTGCTTTGTGGTTTTCCCATTCTATTTAGTCATTATCCACAGGTGATCGATTCTTTATTTTTTCCTTCTGTAGTACAAATATTGATTTGTTTTCGTCTTTTTCTTTACTTACGTTTTTTTTTTTTTTTTTAGCTTCGCTAGGAGTAAAAATCAACACGGTCGTAAAAATGGGGGAAAAGGACTTTTCTTACCCCCTTTTTAAGTTATTTTTTAAATATTATTTAAATTATTTCAATTTTTGGTTTATTCGCTTTCTTTAATGCAGGAAGAGGGCAGGCAGAAAGAAAGAATGTCTCTTCTTTCGATTTGCGGAGACTGCGACTAGCGAAATACTGTGGGTATTTTTTTTTTTTTTTGCGCTGTGTGTGTGTGTGTGTGTGTGTGTGTGTCTGTGATAAGTATACCGACTCGACTAGGTTGAAAGAACGTGGAAGTAGAAATTGACAACACCAGAGACTTGTCTTGTTCTTGTTAGTTCGCTGTTCTAATCCGACCGAAGATCCCTTGTAAAACGACTTTCTTTCATTTTCTTAAGGTCGGAGACTTCTTGTGGGTCCCGACATTTCGTATTTAACACTGAGTGAAAGCTTAACTAAAACGGTAACTTACTTTAAAGAGGGCGGAGCCTAATGTACGCTTTTCTACGCGTTGTTTTTGATTGACAGGCTCTGCTGGGCGGACGAGTCTAATGCTAGTGAAAATATGGAGGGGAGTTCAGCAATTCCGGCGCTTTTAAAAGGAGCCCTCCAACCATTTTATTAAAAAACATGTATAATATTCTTTCTATAACTAATTTTAACAGATCTACATAAGAAATATATATGTTAGAAATTGATGTCTAAATGGTTTTTCAGGATTAAGATAACCTCATCCCCCTTCGCATTTAACATCAAAGATAAAAGCGGGAAAAAAGAAAAAGAGAAAGAAGGAAAGTACATGGAGGTTGGAAGGGGCAGGGAGAACTAAGGAACTCGAAAGAAACTCCTTTGATTGGTCGATTACTTCAAGTTGAGTTTTTTGGAAAACGAAATTTAATGAAATTAAATCGAAAATAAAAATAAAGTTTTAATTTAAACAATGGGGATTTCAACTTCTTCTCAATGAATGGAGATCTGCTGGAAAATCGGTCAGAATCAACCAGGAAAAATGCAGAATTAACGAATATTTACAATTTTGTATAAAAAAAATGGGTGTACTGTAGACATTTATTTCAATATCTATCTATCTATCTATCTATCTATCTATCTATCTATCTATCTATCGCAGTCTTTTCATATCTATCTATCTATCTATCTATCTATCTATCTATCTATCTATCTATCTATCTATCTATCGCAGTCTTTTCATATCTATCTATCTATCTATCTATCTATCTATCTATCGCAGTTTTTTCATATCTATCAGTCTTTTCAGATCTATCTATCTATCTATCTATCTATCTATCTATCTATCACATCTTTCTATATCTATCACAGTCTTTTCATATCTATCATATCTTTTCTATCTATCTATCTATCTATCTATCTATCTATCGCAGTCTTTTCATATCTATCACAGTCTTTTCAGATCTATCTATCTATCTATCTATCTATCTATCTATCTATCTATCTATCTTTATCTATCTATCAGTCTTTTATCTATCACATCTTTCTATATCTATCTATATATATATATATATATATATATATATATATATATATATATATATATGTATGTATATATATATATATATATATATATATATATATATATATATATATATATATATTCTCTCGGACTTTTAGCTGGGATAAAAGCGCAGTCTCTACCCCACCTCATTTGTAATGATAGAAGGTACACGGTCCTGGAGATTCCAATCCTGCGGTAGTACATTCCTCATGGTGGCTGCAATATCTATATATATATCGTTATCTCAGATAGATAGATAGATAGATATGTATCTGAGATAACGATATATATATTTTTATATATCAAGAACAATATTCGGGAAAAATGTATGATAAATTGGAAAAGTTTTCTTGTAACGAATATATCTAGAGAGAGTGCCTTGATCTCAATATCATCTTTACGGACTGGCTCTTACAATATTTCACTATTCCTGGCAGAACTATTATTATCACAATGTGGCATATCTAATAACAAATGTAATGGAAGAAAAGAAAAAAAATATTCTAAATGATGTCGGCTAGATTTAAAAAAAAAAACAATTCGAGCCACACCAACATAAAAATTAGTCCTAAGAAGTTTAAAAGAGGAAACCGCTTCACAAGAAAACTTTTAACACTTTGTCATACATTTTACACACACACACACACACACACACACACACACACACACACACACACATATATATATATATATATATATGTATGTATTATTATAAATTAATTGATTTAAAATATGGTTTCTTCGCTACACAGTAATAACCATGTTTCAAAAACCGAAGCTAAAAAGTTCAAATTTAATTATACGATTAAATTAAATGCGTTAGCTCTGTTTCATATTCAAGCGAATTTTGGAATTCAAAAAATTCTGGATTACAAAATTCGCTTGAAGGTGAAACAGAACTAATACTTTTAATTTAATTATAAAATTAAATTTGAAGTTTTTAGTTCCGGTTTTTGAAACATGTTTATTACTGTGTAGCGAAGAAACCATATTTTAAATCAGTTAATTTATAATATTTATGCTCTTTTAAATTTACATTGTGCACTGTTTTGTAAAAATAAAAAATATTAGTAAGAACACCGGATTATGTATCTTACTGTTCTTTCTTTTTATAATATATATATATATATATATATATATATATATATTTATATATGTATATTTCGATTATAGGTGCAGTTCAGTTCATAATTACATGAATCATTCATACAAAACTGGAATTTATTAACAGGGATCATATCATTCATATACAGGTTCGGTGTCAGTGTACCTTATTGAAATTGTTTGCGAAGATGTATTGTCGCCATTTAAATCATTAACCTCTATATTTGTTTTTTGTATGAATGATTCATGCATTATATATATATATATATATATATATATATATATATATATATATCTAGACACTATATGCCAAAATTTCGTGTTCACTCTCTTGATTTACTAATTAGTAAGTTACCTTTGGTTTAGTTAACTTCTACGCTAATGATACTTTTGAACCCATTAATACATGATGTTTAGTTTTGTAGAGAGGCAGTTGGCTAAAATTTAAAATCCGCCACCCGGAGATTACAATTTGCCTGTAAGGTAGTTTCGACAAACAGAGCTACGGTATTATGCAGTAATATGTTAATTTCATCATTATTAATTATATTGACTGTATGATAAAACGCTTCAGGAAGAGACGCTCTCTCTGACCGAAAAGTGAGCTAATAAATTAGTTTTGAAAAAGGCACGCAACCTTCACTTTTTCGGCGAGCCTTTCAATATCTAGAGGGTGGACCCAAAATTTTGGTTCTTAATCTATCTATCTATCTATCTATCTATCTATCTATCTATCTATCTATCTAAGTCTATTCATATCTATCCCTGTTCCTATCTACGTATGGAAAAATTCGAGAATCATGTAGAACGTGCGCGTTCATACATGTTCTTAGGCATGTTTCCTCTGTTTTCATACACCGGAAGACACTTTCTTACTTTAAGTATATTACATATTGGAACCAAAATTTTCTTCACCCGTACACACACATGCAAACTCACTCACAAGAACACACACACACACACGGAAAATTGAAGAGGGATTTACATTAAATTCAATGCAGAAACAGCTGGGAGAATATAAAAACAAATTTTGTCAAAACAAGCAAACTGAAAAGGAAAGAAAACAGCATAAATTAAAATAACGCCTTTTATACAAAAGTCGCAAAATCCTTCATCCTAACCGAGGGACGCCAGCTTATCGGAAAAGTATTAATGATGTAATATTAAAGGAACACACATACATATATTTTTTTTAGTTCTGATTCGAGGAAGCCGATCTAACGATGGTGAAATGCTTAATCAAGTCAATGAAACAGTTTTCTACTTTGTGAAACTTACCAAACTTTGTCTGGATTTGGTATCCTATTTAGACAGACCCAACACCCGACACGCAAACACGCAATATTATGGATTTGAGAATATAATGATTCTTCTTCCTGGAATAAAAAAAAAAGGCTTTAAAAAATGACAATGTACGTACATCGATTAAAAAAGATTACCCGTCTCCTCATCACGTCTATATCCTCTGGCGAATCGAGTGACTTGATTTTATTATTACTCTAACTTGGTTGCTGTATATTTATGGATATATATATATATATATATATATGCGTAATATATATAAGGTACTACAATTAAGCTTTTTATTTAATTTTTCTTGTGTTCGAACAAGTGTTTTCTTTTTGGGACACAAATTTTGTAGAAACTGTTCAAATGTTCTCTAAACGATTCCGCTATATTATCTTTTAGCCATTATCAAGAATGATTTTACTTTCTTCACTTTAACTGAGTGTTTGCGTTGTGTGTATGTTTTTAGTGTTACAGAGATGTTTTATTTTCCGAACACAGCACATTGTGACCGTGTTCGTAGTTAATGTTATTAAGTATTGGCTTTTCTTTTTTTTTATTATTAAAGCTTCCATATATAAACTTCACCATTTAAGCAATAGTTTATTAATAACAAAGCACAGACATAATTGTACATGTGCCTGTATACGCTCGTTTATATGTACATATGTGCGTATACGTATATCTACATATGTCTGCGTATAGATGTGCACGTGTGCGTGTACTTAAGCGTATCAATACAGACATATACACATAAATTCAAATAATAATAAATAAAAATTCCATTATAAATCTAACCTCCTATTACTGTTTATGATGCCACCAAACCAAATAAGAAAACGAAATGATAATCTGGTGAAGATATATATGTATAAGTATATGCATGTATGTGTATGTATATATATATATATATATATATATATATATATATATATATATATATATATATATATATATATATATATGTGTGTGTGTGTGTGTGTGTATGTATTTAGGCAGCAATCCTTCTTTCATGCACATTTCATTGAAAACGACAGAAAATGTGTTTTTATTTAGTTTTTTATACAATTTATCATGCGATCTAATAATTTTTTTTCTTTTCGGATGATAAATTATTTTAAAACTGTCCGATTGTTCTTTTTATCCGAGCGCTTTCGGCTATATATTTAGCTATTTTCAAGGATTATATTTTAAATGTTAAAATAAGAAATAGTTTGTTGTATATATGTTTTATAAAACGTTTCCAGTTTTCAAAACATGGTCAAGATATAAATGCCCATTAAGAAATGGTATTCCTGATCAATCAAAATTCCTAAATAATTATATAGGCCACACGAAGACTAACTCTACACCTTTCTGACCATAGCTCAATTAGATCTCATTTGAATATTCATGAAGACCTACCGGACACTATTCGTAACATACTTGTTGACAACACTAATATAATAGCATCATCTACATGCAAAACAAAGGCTAAAAATAATGGAAGCCTTATTAATAAAAACAAAAAAAAAACAACACTTAATGATATTAACTTTGAACATGGACACAATATTTTAACTGTGTTTTCAAACTTTTTATAAAACATACATACAACAAACTATTTCTTATTTTAACAGTTAAAGTATAATCCTTGAAAATGGCTAAATGTATAGCCAAAAGCTCTCGGGTAAAAAGAACATTCGGACAGTTTTTATATAATTTATCATCGGAAAAGAAAAAAAAATTATTAGATTGCATGAGAAATTGTATAAAAGACTAAATAAAAGCACCTCGTCTGTCGTTTCCAATGATATATACATACACACACACACACACACACACACACATATATATATATATATATATATATATATATATATATATATATATATATATA